TATGTGCATACACATGAGTTACAACTACAAAAACAAACAAATGGGGGGGGGGGCTTCACAAAGGTTGCTCATGTGAAGCCTCAGTACTTGGTATTACCCTAAAAGAATGAGGCACTGGAGATTGATCATGTGACGCCCCAATACTTGGCAAAACACTAGAAGGGGAAGGCATCAGTTGCCTTCGAAATCTAGCCACGAATCTCTGGTGATCACTTTAAATCTGACTTTCAAATTCCTGCAGCTGGTCGAGCTTTCTTTTCATGCTCATCAAGTAAATATTTGCAAGTTTATGTAACTCTTTATTCTCATGCTTGAGCCCTATAATCTCTTGTCTAAGACTTGCCACCTCAGCCATTAATGTTTCGACTTGGTGAGTTCGAGCAAGTAGACATTAGCCCATGTTGGATACAGAAAGAGTCTTGAACAGCCAATTCATCAAACCTCTTTGAAAGTATTCTTTTGTCTTCAGGAGTGAGAAGGTTCCTAACTACTACTGTAGCTATTATATCATCTCTCGTCACAGAGTCTCCAACCGTAAGAGGGTCATTAAAAGACAAAAAAGACGCGGCTCGTGTGTATCTCCTTCGAGACTCAAATCTAAACAAAGGTTGGATGGGCAAGCCATTTTCAGAAATGATGAAAGAAAAGGGTTGGATAGAGTGAAATCTCATAAATACAACATAAATAATTTTCACAGGTGTGCAACCTTCAAAGTGTGCATTTTGAATACAATTGATACCACTATAAAATGAAAGGCAACACCAACACCTATTCAAAAATCGAAGAGACACTGCTTGTTGATTTTCAAAAGCCAGATTTTCCTGAATAAAGTTTGTCAACATTTCTCAGACGCAATCTCAGCTTTCTGGATATCAAGGATAACTCTGTCAAAATATCTCTGGCAAAGTCAAAACGCGTAAAGTTCACTATTCCAACTATACCACTATTACCGACAAGGGTGGGTGACAAGGCCACATCCGCACCACTACCTGCTATTGGGAAATCTCTATATATATCGACCTTCATCCTCCATGGCAAAGAACACCTCCAAAACGCCTAATTCATCTTCTTTGCCAAGAATGCATATGCAACCAAACCTCTCAACATATTAAGTTGTCATTCTCTATGAGAATACCTCTTCAACCAAGTCCCTCAAAATGCCAAACTCATTTTCTCAGTAAGAAACCCCTTTCGATCAAAAAGTTTTACATCAGCATCAAAGTCTTCTACTGTTTTTCTTCAAGAGCGAAAGCATCTCATATCATCAGGGTAGAGAGCAAGAGTATCTCTTATCATGCTCTTTCCCTGTCTTTTCCTTTGCCCTTGCTCTTGCCTACAAGATAAAGATAAAAAAAAAAATCAGTCAGAACCTAAAATCAAACTTCCAGTCAAGAACCAACTAATAATTGGTACGTTGTTGGCTCTTTACACTGAAGCTGCCAAGCATGGATGAGTCACTAAGAAGTGATGGACCATCCAAGGGCAAAGATTGCGCACCACCTCTATTGGGCAAGAGATTGAAGCAGAATGATCAACGATGAGTCCATGGAAGTCTAAAGGAAGAAAATTGGTGGCTAACTGAGTAAATGGAAGACCAAAGTTCAATGATGGGAATCTTATTCACAGCCCCATCAAACTCTACCAGTTTATATCATTCACATGATGTACAAAAGGGTAATGAAAATTACTAATTGATTACAAGTTACAGAAATGCTGCATGGAATGAAGTCTCAGTCAAACTCTCCACGGACTTGGCACTACTAAACTATTGCATGCCCGAAGCATTACAGTTGCCTCATGGATTCAAGTTCCAAAAAGGATAATCCATGGACACGGAAATTTTAATATATTTTATATGCCTGAAGCATGATCGATTTGTAGGTTCCAATGATTCAACTCCTCGGAAGTGGAGATTAAAAATCCAAGCTCTATAATGCTTTAAAGGAGGTTATGATCCAAATTCTCAAACAATTCATCTAAGAAGAGATGATTGTCCTAGAAAAGACAATGTAAAGCCCCTGAAGAGGCAAGGATATCCAAAGTAATGAAATACTTATAAATATGCATGTGCATGCACATGAGAATTATGGGATCAAGAATTGATGATTACCAATGTTAATTTTGGTTTTACATGCTACTAAATTCATTAATGAGTTATGTTGATATTGAGCCACATTCTTTTGTTCGTTGACTAAAAAGAAAAATTATTGGCCAAAATGGAGAAAGGCAATTCCATTACAATTTATTAAGAACGTGGAAAAATGGACCTATAGTACAAATCGCCAAATGATATTGAACCCAAAAGGTTATATGGGCATTTGTAATACGGTGAAATACACTAACATGATATGACACATGGTTCCTAGTTGAAACCTGAAATTGTAATACACTCCTGGAAACATGATTTCTCATTGTGAAGCTTGTTCATTTCAGTAGAGAATTATACATGACCCGAAGCATATCTCCACAAGTAAATCCCTCAAGTATACATGAAAGCAAGTTGCTTTGTATAAATTCCAAAGGAGAATGTGTCATGAAGTGTAGAAAATCCCTGAAGGATTCAAATTGCTTGAAGAAAGCCCTAGAAGGGTAAAGCATAAATTATGAGGAAAACTAATGAAAAGGGCTTCAAAACTTTAAGTTTTAACCAAAAAACGCCTACTAACTTTATTTAATAATAAGGACAAGAGAAAAAAAATACATAACAAAAGTTTGATCCAGGCTTGTCGCTGTACAAAGAATAACTTCCCACTCAAAGAAGGCAGAGAGTAGGCTTTCAGCATTGCTATAAACCTCCTGAAAGCAGAATAAATTAATTGGAACAACTAAATAAAATGTATAGCCAGGACGTACAATAGTCTTTGGAACTAACTTATTGCTCTGATATCAAAAGAGGAGAAGCCAACTAATTGGCCGAATGGGCCATATGAGCAGTCAAGAAAAAGGTAGACTGACTTCCATTTTGCATTAAATCAGCATCAGCTGGATTCTTAAATGCTGGTCTCATAGTTGAAAGAAGCAGAGCATCCGTCTCTTTTTTTTCCACTCCATGTAAAACCTGAAATCATTCATCAGCAGAATGTAAGTATATTCACTAACAAACACCACTAAGGATGTGCAACACAATAGAACATCCACCATCAAAAAGGTGATGCCCTTGAGGGCTTCGATGGTTCCCTCTTCTCCATTGGGCATGAATTCGCCACAGCCATCTGTAGCAGTCTCTCCTATGGCTGCTGCATAGTTCTTGAGGCACTCTTTGTAGTAAGTTTTCATAAACAGTGTCGTAAGTTTCATAAATAGTGTTGTAAGTTTTCATAAGTGGTGTAGTAAGTTTCATAAACAGTGTCCTAAGTTTCATAAATAATGTAATAAGTTTCATAAACAGTGTATTGTGAGTCTGCAAGTCAGATTTTTTGTCCTTTTTTTTTTAAATTATGTCTTTTTCATTAAAATTTAAGTTTTTTTGTCCTTTTTATTAAAATTTAAGGGTTTTTAATTAAAATTTAAGTCTTTTTAATTAAATAAAGTTATAGTATGGTTTTTTATTAAAATAAACTTAGCCCGAGCTGTAACATCCCACATCGCCCAGTGGAGTGATCCTTAAATGTATTCCCATCCCTACCTAGCACGAGACATTTTGGGACCTCACTGACTTCGGGTTCTGTAGGAACTCCAAAGTTAAGCGAGAAGGATGCCATAGCACTCCCAGGATGGGTGACCCACTAGGAAGTTGCTCGTAAGTTCCCAAAAACGAACCCGTGAGGGAATGGTAAGCTCAAAGCGGACAATATCATGCTACGGTAGTGGAACAGGCCCGAGATGTGGTGGACCCGGGCTGGGATGTGACACAAGCCCTTTTCATGAAAGTTCCCTAAATTATGTACTCAATACCAATTAATGGTATAAATTGCCTTAATGAGTACTTTCATTATGATATTGTTGCAATACATTGAATCTCTTGCAAGAGTTGATATTAGATTGGAACTCTTGAAGAGTCTAGAAAGATTATGAAGTGTTGAAAGGAATATTGTCTCGAGCTACAGATCGAACAATATGTCAACACAAATCTTATCCAAAATGTTTATGGTATTAAAAAATCATATGGTTTGAAGATTATGAGTTGAATACTCAAATGATTAACCAATATTTAGACACTACGAAAGATCATTCATCCTCGTGAGGGAAATGATGAATTGATATTTGGTCCAGAAGTACCATATCTTAGTAAGGTATGTGCCTTACTATATTTAGTACAATACACTGAGTCAGATGTTACATTTCCTATGAAGCACAATACCAACATATGGTATTAGAATGAAGTAAAGTTTATATTTTGATAACTCCAAGAAATTATAGACATGTACTTATTCTATTCCAAAGAACTCAATAATAGCCATGGTCTTATTGGGCAACCAAAAATCTGAATATCTCTCTAGCCTGCATACAAATCTCTCTCAGAAATGATTTGTATTTACATATGGAAATAAATTGATCCTACAACAATCAAGGAAGCAACATTCATTGCCACATCTTCATATCTCTCAAAAATACAGGAGTTCGGTTAAAACCTGTGGCCATTAAAAATTGGAGCACATGTGAACCACCTTCAAAAGCAAACATTCCAACTATCATGAATGGTATCAAATTACATTAACATAGTAATCAGTCAAATTAAAGAATTCAAAATCAGGGAGAGATACTCATCAAGGGGAAGCATTGAAAACATATCAAGATTTTAACGAGGCAACAAAAATTGACGTATGGCCATCAAAGGGAGTGTTGTAATATAATATGTGGATGGCCCACATGAATAGTTCATTACTTTTCATCCAACGAAAAATCAGATGGATTATTATTCATACGAAGAAAAAGAGATGGGTTACTATTCATGCATAGTATTTCACTATTTATTTGAGGAAAGGTTGTAAAGTGAATTGTTTTGCTATAATAATCTTTTGCCTATAAGATGAGAGTAGGGCTGGGCAAACGGGTCCTGGACCCGTGGGTCGAGGTAGGTACAGATATTGTAAATTCAAAACGAGGCAGGGCGGGTACAAATTTTAGAGAAAACAGGCCCTCGGCCCAAATCGTTTCCCCCGTTCATTATAGGGAGATAAATCTCCACCGTTTATTTCTTAGGTTATGTAGAATTCTCGAGACTTCACTCTCAGGCCTCTCGACTCTCCCTCACGATCTCTTTCTCCTAAACTTACACTCCGTCCCCGTCTTCGTCGATCGAGGTCCATCCTACCCACCACTTGACCACCATCTCCGGCGTCGATCGAGGTCCCTCCCACCCGCCATCAGGACTAGTTTGTCGATGTTAAGAATTTAAGGTCAATGAGCCCCTTGTTGCAATCTTGCTGCCAACTTTTAAAAAGCCCAGATTGGTTTTGATTTAGGTTTCTCGAGGGTTTTGGGATTTTGTTTGGGGATGTTTGGTTTTTTATGGGGTATTGGGGGAATTTTTTGATATGGGTTTTGGTTTGGGGCGTATTTTTGATGTGGGATTTGCTTGATTTTCTAATAGGATTTATGTGATTGTATAGATCCCCCACTCCCAGATTACCCACTCCCAGAATATTGAACTTGAGCACTTTACGGTCACACATTCATGACAAGAGATTGGAGTCTTGTTCTTCCTGTCCCTTACCAAGTATTCCATTTTGTTAATATTGATTTATTCTTTTGGTTTTAGATCGAGATAGTACTTGGGAAGTCAAAAGACTTTGATGACTTGATGGCCATTGCAGCTGCGGAGGAGCAAAGCTGAAAAAGGTTGCTTGTTTGGGGCTTCTCTTACAGTACCAGTTGTTCAAGACCATCGTTAACACCGTCACCAACCATTTCGTCGAAGAAGATCACCCTCAAGAGCTCGGATGTCAAGTCGTTCGAGGTTGAGGAGGCGGTGGCGCTAGAGTCGTAGACCATCAAGCACATGATCAAGGATGATTGCGCCGACCATCAACCTGGATTTGGAACTGGGTTCTGGAGCTCTGTATCAAAATCAGAAGAAAAAAAAAAAAAAAAAAAGTAGTGAGGACCCGTTGTACCGACCCAAACCGGCTCGTTTCAAACAGACCCGGTTAGGTCCAGTTCCTGTTTTAAAATCTGTTGTACCCACCCCAGATCGGCCCATTTCTTTTAAACTCCGGTCCGGTCCAGTTCCTTCAAAATTGGGCCGGCCCGGCCTGTGCCCAACCCTAGATAAGAGCATACGGAGGAAGGAAGAAAAGAGATGAGAAAAACATATAGAGGAAATATGGAGGACGTACGCACACTTGCCCCGAGGACGTACGCACACTTGCCGAATCTCGTAAATATTGTGTCTTATTTATTTTATTCCACTGCACACATATTGTCAACTTTACAACAATTTAGAATTTTTTTTTATTATTTTTTTGAATTTTCGTTTTTAGTAAAAATAACATATGAACCACAATTATGTAATAAGAAAAATAGGGAATAACATGACCTTGGACAAAGGCCTCTTCATTATTGACAAAAAATCTCCATTTGCTGGTATGAATGCCCACTTTTTCCACCACTCATATCTCCATTTGCTTCTAAATCTAATAGTCCATATTTCGAGCGTTTAAAACCTCCTTCGACAGCCCCAAAAACAGTACAATAAACATTGACAAACCCTTTGTCGATCTTCAACCAATACATCCTATACACGCAAGCTCCGTTCATCAGAATGCCCAAATCTTGAGGCAACAAAACCATATCCTCCCACAACTGCAACGAGTACGCAAAGAACCATGATAAAGAACTGGAAGTTTGCAAGCAACTCACCCCGGACCTCACTGTCGACAGAATGACATGAGACCATATCATCCTTGAGCCCACAACCATCTGGCATCATGGGGCCATAGAGAGTGAACGCAGTCTGATAAAACCAGAGGCCTTGGAGAGTTATGCCAATACCGCTACATAAATCAATTGGAAAGCTGGTTGGTAAGAGGGCTCCGGCAACAGAGGATACTATGCAAAGCCCGATTAGGAGGACAAGGAGGATGTGGTAATACCCCTCAAGGCCTTTATGAGTTGTTGAGTGAAAGTAGAAAAGAAGGTACTCTGCACAGAATGCTGTAGCAGCAATCAGACAAAGAGCGCCTTCGGGCATCGGAAGAAATCTAATTGCAAGACAATAAAGGAGAAAGAAAAAAAATTAGCTATACTACAAGATTATTCCATAACAGACCCAAAAATAGTGTTGGACGGTTAAAATTAACAATCAATAAAAAATTGTGCAAAAAGCACCCCTCCTATGGCAACAATGTCAAAATAACTGCCGCAATGTATCAATATTGAACTGTAGTCTCCAACATTAAAATGTAAACAACAAATCATATAATAAAAAGAAACGCAACAAGAAGCTAAAGGCCTAATGTAAATAATGCTTGAGAAGAACATCCTCAGCCGCCTAATGAGGTGTTTAAACTGTAAACCGCAATCCTACTGGTGTGCAGCAATAATATAGCAACAAATCATATAATTCTGCTACACTCTCGCAGAAATGGAGTCAATCTGAAGGCAAAAACAGGCTGCTGCAAATTATCATGGACCTGGGTTCTACTGCAGCTTCTTCAGCTCATCCTCGATTAGCAAGAGCTTCTAGAAATCTGGAAATGAAGGTTCCTTGAACCTTTGCTACAAGTGGGGGCCCAACTAGAAATCCCCTATCAGAGAAAAAAAATAGAGAACTTCAAAGCATATTTCTCAGCTTAAGGTTACAGCCTAATACCAACATGGGAAAATGATCCGACATAAATGGAGGCAAGAAATTCACGTAGCTATAGGAAAATCTATGCAGAGCAGAGATCTTCTAAATAAGACTCCTTGATGCAATCCCCCAAGAGTGCAATCCCAGCACTGATTCAACCAGCAACTATTTCGCTAAAGCCTCTAACTTCATTGTAAGCCTCGACTGAATGTCTTGGAATTGGCTGCATTGGTCAGAATCACCATGCTTTGAAAACCTCATGGTTAAATGATTCCAGCCAATCTGAATCTTCCCAGACTGTGACTACCCTAGTTATTCATAGAGTAATCCAAATAAAACTTTTAGAACTGACATCTGCATTAACCAATCTCACCCCAGTTTCAACAATATAAACTAAATCAGGATTTTGAGCAGCAATAAGCTTTCTCATATCCATCAGCTTAGGGTAGAAATAAAACCCCTCACGTTCCAACAAGCAAACTGGACTATGGAAAGGGAGATGGGACTTGGACCTGACCAAAGAATAACATTTTGGATGCCCTTACCAACTGCAATTCCAGAAAACACAAATGATATCACCAGATAGCTCTCTCTTTATTTGTAAACATTTTCAATGCTTTTGACTCTGAATTATCCTGGTGAGTAAATACAAAACTTTGGCATGTCTGTTGAAATATATTTAAGTTTCATGAGTTAAAAGTACTACTTACGTCAACATTTTATAAATTCTTAGGAATTCATAATCAACAATGTTCGCAATATTTAATGTCTGAGATTGCAGGCAATTATAAACGGATCAGACATTTCATAATGTGCACAACCAAAAGCTCAAGGGCAACTACCTGGAGCAACAAAAAAATGTCAGACACAAACAGTTGTTTCACTCTCTTAAAGCAAGTTTTTCCTATTACAAACTTGAATTTATGGAAATGATCTGACATTCCAGAACAGTTCTCAGGAATTTGACTGTGAGCAGCATTTGAGAACTTTTTTAGTACATTAGGATCACTTAGCAATGGTAGCCATTCACTTTTTAATTTGGCCCTCTTTTCCATTTGCACAGAGGAACTCGAAGCCAACTGAGTTACACAGAACTGAGTAGGGGGTTCAAGTTTTACTAAAGTCTGACAAGGAAAATACTAAATATGTGAAATTCTTAGTTTGGGTATATGGACTTAATAAAAAAACCAGTAACAGTCATGACAAATTATGTCAAACCAATATCAACAAAATAATAAAAACAGTAACAAACCTAGGCACAAAACCAGATGATCCAAATAGATCCCTATATAAATGCAGCTCCTTATTCACTTCCTATGGAATTTTATTTCCCCACCCAATATAAACAGTTGCAAAAGCCATCTCAATGTGCAAGTACTATGACTTCTACAGATTTGATTGCTAGTGAGTTTCTATAAATGCCATCAAAATTGAAATCTTTACGTTGCCAAAGAAACAGAGGAAGCCTAGATACAAAGGCCTCTTAGTCCTAGCTGCAAAAAGGAATAAACTTTTAGATGTGACCTCATTTTGTTATTTTGTTTTCGGTGCAATTGAAACATCCACTTGAGTAGGTCAACAATGCATCACTCTTAATCAAGCAGAGCAGCTAGTTCATCAGTCTCAAAAGTTTAAAATCCAAAAATCGATGGATTTATTGCTAATTATCTAATCCTAGACTTTTCCGAAGAATCAAACAAGATTGTTAAACAAGATGACATAAAAACAAAGAAACTGGCAATCAAGAAAATCAAATGAGAATGATCATACCTTGTCTCCTGTGAGATCAGGGTGATAACCCCAAAGATAAAGAACATTAGAAGCATCCCCGAGTGCTCGAAATCATTCATGTGATGAGGGTTCAAGACTCCATTAACAAAGAACTTGAGATGGGTCGAATACAAAAGCTCAATACACATATCAATGAAAGCACCAACTGCTATAAGATAAAGCTCAAAATACTTAAGCCTCCCATCAACACCGGGAACCGGGTTCCATACATGTACCCTAAAGGACTTGGGGTTGGATACATATCTCACCAGCGAGCGCCATACGTGCCACACCCCAATAACCAAAAACAATGTCCCTGGCAGAACATGACCTGGGAAAGAACCCATCTTTCTTGGTGTATGGATATATCTATATATCTATATCTGTATATCTATATGCACCAATCAATGTCCCTGTCTATCTGAGATTTCCCTTTATTTTTTGGTCAATATCTCCCTGAGAATTCAATCTGCAACCCCTTTTGTCTTGTCCGACAAAACCAATAACCCCCTTTTAAGGAAAAACACTTTGAATTTCTTTTTCTGTCTGCGGCAGGCTGATGAAATTTTCCAAGTTTCCAAGTTTCCCAGAAAGCAAATTGTTGAAGGTCAAGATCCTTAAATGGATATGAAACAAGGAAAACAAGAAAAAGTGTCGCCAGTAAGTCAAACTTAGCAGCTGAAAAGAACACCAACTAGGATTTGCGAGTAAATAAATACAAAAACATTAATAAATAAATAAATAAAAACAAGATCAAGGCTGTAAAAAAATGGAAATTTACACAAAAACCAGCATTTTTTACATGAAAACTGCATCAGAATTTAGAGTACCAGCTAAGAAAGTGGAAGTTGATTGGCGTGTAAAGGGAAATCATGACGATATTATTAGAGAAAAAAAGAAAAGAAATCGACCTACTTGTGATACTAATTAGCGTATGATTGATTCATCAAAGGGTTTTGCTTTTTGCAGGCCCAAAAGGCAGAGAGAGTGAGCGAGCGAGTGTAAAATGTCTGCCGAAAATGTGACGATGACGATGATGATGATGGGTGGAGCGGTGGAGCCGTGGAGGTGGTGGGGATCCAAATTCCAAACGCAAAAAGCCAATGGCAACGGGAATTGTTAAGCCGATTAACTGTTTTCACGTGAGTCCTTCCCGGTGGGTCCATCTTAGATCTACACCGTCGGTCTGGCCAATTTCTACTTGTGTAAAAATACGAAATGCTCATGTTTTTTATGACTATTTTGCCCCTATTTTACTACTTCTTCTCTTTTGTTTTTTCTCCCCACTAGCACAGTATAATGACGAAATGCCCCTATTTGTCTTGCGTGGGACCATCATTTTTCAGGCCGGATAGGAAACCGCAACAAAAGATACTTTACCGAATACAAAAAATTTAAATTTTTTGGCTAGACCGTTTCTCCTCGTGAGCTCGTCCCTTCTCTGCCCTTAGATCTTCGTCTGCATGAATAGCCCGCACCTTAGAAACGCGAGAAAAATCACCTACATCTTGGCACGGCAGAGGCACACTTGCGGCTAGGCCAAATGGAGGAAGACCACCTATACCTTGGCCTGATGGCAGAGAAAATCTGCCACGGCCTGTTGGTGGGCCACCACCATGACCGGATGACGGTGACCCACGAGACTGTCGTTTAACATCGGATAGAGTGAGAGTCATTTCCGAAAGCTACAGTTGGAATTTCAATTTGCATCCTACACGAGTAGATTACCTCCATATCTTGTTAATATTGCATTCTACACGAGTAGTAAATCCATGAGACTTTTGACAAGAAAATGTTATATACATATCTCACAGTGACTGACTGAAGATTAAGTTTCTGTACTTGAGAATGCTTCATAACATCTTAGAATCGTACTGTATAATCCTAAACGCTCGCTCAGGCCGATGGAAGAATATCTAAAGCAACTTCCTTGAGCGACGGCATGGCTTCCTGCTGATGCAAACAGACGTATCCGTTCCTTACCTTTCTGAGGACTTTCCATGGACCTGGGTAGCTCCTAAATGTAGCATAACAAGATAACACGAACAAAAGGTAAATAAAGTATTGATATGTATCTCACTCTCACACAAACAAATTCATTATCAGTGTCAGTAGCTAGCAAACCTAAAAAGGGTCCCTCCGTGGCGTCCCTTAAAATTGTGAATGTAGTACACAGTCTCCATAAATGGAAATAGGCTCTTGGAAAGTGCAGCGAGCTTCGGGTAGAAGAAGGGCGGATAATCTTTATTTCGTTTCAAGAAAAACTGTCGTACGTGTAACCGAAAAGGTCACCAATGGTTTCAAGGTTTATGCATCAAGCTTGAGTAAATGAACAAGTAATGCAATTTATATTTGAAGGGTGAATGCATTCCATCTGAAATTAGCAAAGGATACATCCAGATCTTATACGGTCAAGTTCCCCATTGAAAATAATCAGTTTCCTGGAAGTGTTCTGAACAGCTTCTCTGTAAAGTTCTTCGACCACAAGCATTTCTGAATGGCAAGAAATTAATTCAAACATTGATTAATGGTTGCAAGGATGCTAATGTAGAATTTATTCAGAATGTCGAGTGTCGTGAACGGAAATGGTCCATGGTACGCGCATCCAGTGACATCAAGTGAGATATATAAATGAAAATATAATGGAACAAAAAATTCAACTGAAGGAGCTACCGGTGACATTAAAATACGGATAGGCAGCAAGGAAGAGTTCATCTTCTGGCTTCACACGGTCTATCATTTTCACTTTCTCCACAAAACCAAAGTCCTCAAAGAATGATGGCTTTGTCAGATAGTCCAACTTAAAGGAAGCACCATCAAATATTGATTCTCTTGCAAATTTAACTTCGTTGGCCTCGGGAAAAAACTGAAAGCTTTCATCAAACCGTTAATATATTTACTTAAAATCTCAGTACCTAAAAAGATAAACGAGGGAAAGGAACAAATAGAGTAGGTAGGCAACTCAGAGTTCTGCATCATAGCAAGGGACTACAGATTTTTTTGTTTAATTTATCATACCACTTTATAGTAGTTTCGCCTTATTTGGTTTAGCCGTTTAGGGAATTGCGTATTTTTCAGTTAGATGTTTTGGTTCTTAGATCTTTTGCTTTTTATTTAGTGCGGAACAACGAGCCCATTACAGTCCCCTAAATCTGAAACTAGAGTTATTTGTCTTGAGAAAGAAAGAAAAAAGGTCAAAGATGAAGGAACTTACTATTCTCGTCTGTCTAGCTTTCTCTGGAACTATTAAACGGTTGCAAAATTCTCGAATTAACTGCATACTTTCTGTCATTTCTATTCCTCCTTCACCATCCCCTAAAATGCGTTTCATAAATTAAGAAGCTATACATAATGCAACTCACTTGGAACGAACTATAAACATATATCAGCTGGCGGAAGGAACCTGGTACGGATTCAAGTCCGGACGTAGGGAACTCAATCTCCTGCAGAAGAAGAGAGTTGTTGATCATATAATAAGACCGTACAACTGTTGTTAGATCGAATTTTTCCACAAGTAATTACGCCATCCTAACTCACCATCAACTGCTTGTTATCCTTCACAGCCAATTCAGTTGCATTTCGGGCCTGGTAATTATCATGTAGCCCAAGAAAAAACTTAGCACCAAATAGCGGTAATAAATCAGAAACCAAGGGCACGCCTGATGAGTGATGCCTATCACACGAAGTAGAATACTCAAAGCGTACGTACGAGAGTAGAGAGGGGCAGAGAGAGTGAGATAGAGATGCTGCTTTTGATATGCTAAAGTACATATTAACCCGAGTTCCGAATAGATTTCAAATTAAATAATTTATACAAGTGGCATGCCTATTTGAATATCAAGAAGGTAAAGTCCAGAAGCTAAGGGTTCACAAATTCATAATCAAGAGTTGTGCAATCTACATCAAAATAGATAATCCGAACGAGAAACGATAAACACAAACCATTTTTATCCTCTACAAATCTCTCTTTGTTTCTTGTCTCCGGATTGAATAAATCAAATAGAAAAACTGACAGGATTAAACACGGGTCCATAGGGGGTAAAAAATGGTGTGCGGTTATCATTTTCCGACCCTAATATATATTAAAAATTGTTCAGAACACGAAGGCACATTGTAGATTAGAAAGAGTAGAAGGTGAATTACTTGTTCAATGAGCTCAGAATAGTCGCTAGGAAATGACACATCAAGCCCAACCGAACTTGTCTCCATATCCCCCGAAGCCGAATTCCTCACGAATTTGAGGTTTCTGGAGACAGTTTGCGCAGCCATTTTGCGGGTGACCAAATTCCCATAGGATTTTGGCGGCAAATGGTTCTTGCAAGTATACGTGCAAAGAGAAAGAGGCAGTGACTGTGAGTGGACATTTTTGAAAGGTAAGGGAATACGAAAGATGAAATAATTACCTTGCCATTGCCACTGGGAAGAGAAGGGGCCGCAAACGGAACTTTAGAGGCAGTTACGATGTCCGACAACGGCATTTTTCATCGATCAGAAGTATTAGTCCAACAAACAGGAAGGAGAGAGAGAGCGCGCCCCGTATCTCCGTTCAGACTTTGAAGGCGCCACAACGTTTACACGTGGTGGAGATAATCTAATCAGCAGCTGTTTGATTGGACAATAATACCTCATGACGATTATGTCCTCTCTTGTAAGGATCAGACTCTGATTGGACACAAGTTTTTTAATTTTCATTTTAAATTTTCGAAAGCGGATCGAATCGGTTTAGGGTTTATAATTCGAAATTTTTACAAATTTATTTATTTTATAAGTTGTTTAATATTTCTAATTTTTTCGAGCATGTAGGTTTTTTTTTGTATTTGATATATGCTTGTGTATAATTTAATCAATTTTGTAGTATATAAGTATGTTTATACGTTTTAATATATAAACGTAGATTAATATAAAACTATTGAACAAATGTATCCAAAATTAATAATAAAATATAAAAGTTGATTATAAAATACATAAATTTAGTAGGGAAGTGTTATTGACACTCTAAAAATCTCGTTCTATACTCCTCACAAATGTATTTTTTTTTCCAAATATAAAAAATTTAGAGTATAAAATGCAGAATTTGAAGTGTAAATAACAATTCCCATTGAGTAAATAAATAAAAAATCATCTTCTTTTATTTTATTTTTTTATTGGAATAAGTTTCAGAACACTTGGAAAATTTTTCCTTATTCTAAATACAAAATTTTCGGTATCTACAATTATTTAAAAATATTCAAATTCAAAAATTTAGTTTCGGATCAAGAATTTTATAGCGGAATCAAAAGTCCCATTCCAACTTGCATCTCTAACTCGGCCCATCAAAGGAACTAGATTTTTCCTCATTAATGTGTCTTGTTCAGTACTTCTGCGGCACTTGGGCGCGGTTAAAAGCTCAATAAAGCTTTTATTTTTTTATTATTTTATTTTATTTTTTTATCAATTGGGTAAACCTCATTAGGGGCGGAACAAAAAATGGAAAGTCCCGAATAGTATTGAAAAGAATTTCTAAATTGAAGCGAAAATATCTCAAAAAGTTCATTACGACCATCGGTCTCACAATCAGACGTGTTTGGTAATTTTGAACCGAATTGAAGTTAAATATATTTGTGTGTGTATATATATGTTTATTTTTAAATTATGGTTTAGGAAATATTTAGACCGTAGGATTGGTTGAGATTTAATCTCGGCTGTTCTCAGAGTAGCCAGTTCTCTCTTTGTCTCAAACCCTTTCAACTTCGGCAAGCCATCACAACAAACCCTCTCTAGTCTCCTTCCACCACACCATATACAGCTAGTAACCCACCACACCACCTGCTACTTTCTGTCTCTACTTCTCTTCTCGAAATGTATGAGAGTAATGGAAAACCATGTGCTGCAATCGGGAAATACAATTTTTCCAACGAGTTCAAAGTGACCAAGGAGGAGAAAAAGATCCAGAAGCAAAGCAACATATCACACTAGAAGAGTTACTTTTAAGCCACAAATTTTGCCAACCTTGCGCAAAAGCCAACTCCACAGTAAGGATGATAGCATGAAGCACCACATATAAAGAAGTATGATGCCCTAAACTTAGGGAGAAACCACCTAAAAAATAACCCACAGAATCTCGGAAAACCCCGCCACAAACCGCAGGACCCGAGTTACCTTTAGCAAGGCCATCCGTGTTCACTTTGACCCAAGGAAATGGAGGGGGATGCCAAAGAACAAAAACTATAGAATGAGCCTTACAAGACTCAGCCAAGATTCCAAGAGAAACTAAAAGCTACTTCAAAACCACGTACATGACCAAGAGTGAAAACTCCACTTTGCCTAATTCAAACCAAAGTAGAACGACAAAGGCGTGGAAAGGAAGGAAGCACACTTTCAAACTTCACTCCATTACGCATCTTCCAAATAACCATTAATAAGAAAAATCTTGATGCTAGCCAGACATTGCGAAGTTGTGGAGAAAATCATTTTGACACAAAATCAAGCAACAAATCGGAGAAGGAGCCTATAAGTGGAAGAATAGTGCCAAATTGAGCAGCAAGCCAAAACCAAGCACATTGTGCAAATTCATAACAAAAAAATAAGTGCTCAATAGATTCATATTTTTTTTTTTTAACAAACGATATTATCTACACTAAGGGGAAAGGGCTGGGTTTAGCCTCATAATAGGCTAGCAATAATATGGTTCAAATTCGCCTTTGGTGAGAATCGAACCTAAGACCACTCATTTACAAGTGAAGGTAGATGAATACCACTAAACCGTAGTACTAAGTGGCAATAGATTCAAAATTATTGTAACATAGTTGGCCTATTGGAACCAAGGGAATGCCCTGTCGTTGAAGTTGATCATTCGTTGGGAGCTTATTGAAAAGTATCCTCCAAACTAAAGTGGAGTAGCGAGGTGGAATGAAAGAACGCCAGATAATGGAAGCCCAACTTATAATAGGAAACCAAAGACGAACAATTTCCTTGCCATCAGAAAACGAAAATACCCCAAATGCATAAGCTTCCCAAATTAACATGTCATTTTCCTCATCAATTGGAAGAGACACCTCTAAAATATCTTTAGCTAGCTCTGGAAAAGTAGCAGAAAAAGAAAAGAAAAGAAAGAATAACCCATTTTCCCCAAGAATAATGTCCAAGTGAAAGAAGAAACAAGCTTAGTAGCACCAACGACCTCTACAATAGGCGTATCCAACCATTTATCAACCCAAACAGAAGTACTAGAATCATTCCCAATCACCCAACTACAGTTCTAAAACAAGATATGGAGAATAGATTTAATACTAGATGATGAATAGATTTTATATTATATATTTTACCCTAATCTTAGTATATTTTGGTTAATATTTTGAAAGCATTTTGATACTTTGAATTGTATTTTCAATATAGGACTTTCGACTTCCTCTGGAGCAAAACAGGACCAAATGGACGAATTTTGGAGTAATTCCAGTTGGAGGATGTTCGTGAGTCACTTAGCTTGATCGTATCAAAATTTGGGATTTTTCTACCAAGCAGTTATTTTCTGACGATGGAATAAAGAAGCAGTGCGCAGTGTTGGAAAATGACGTTTTTGGGCTTAAATTGCGTTTTTGGAGCCCAAGATGACTTCGGATGGGTTCATGGCCTTCTGGAGAAGTGTTCAGAATATTTTAAACATTAAATCCAGATATATTGGGCCAGTTTTGGAGCAGATTATGGGTCCAAAACGTGGCTGTTCAGATTTTAGACGAATTTTACCATTTAATTTAGGGTTATGTTTCCTATTTTATTGATTATTATTATTAGTTTCCTAGTGGGAATAAAGGACCTGTTTTTAGGGTTTGTGAGGGGGCTTGGCAGATTTATTGCTTGGCCATCTACCATATTTCACTACGCTTTATTTTATGCAATTTTGGAGACAGAGAGAATTGCTAGGGTTTTGGAGATTTTCTACTTGAAGGTGTTTTCAATCATTTTCTTAATAATATTTTCTATGATTTCAATTATGAATATGCGTAACTAATTTTCTTTTGCTAGGGCGAAGCCTTGAGCCTTAGCATGAATATGTGATTTTTATTTAATTGCTTATGATTGATTGCATGCATATTTTGAATTGTTAATTACCAGGATAAAAACTATCTAATTGTCTTAATGCCTGATCACCATTAGAATCTTTACAAAAGTAATTTGATGCAATTTTGGTCGGAAGGTTCCCTGAAATTGACGCTGGCTTCTTGTGATTAATAATTGTAATTTCACTTAGGATGAATACCACGTCTTAAGGATTGCATGGTTTTTCAAAGGATTTTCATAAAGCATAATGAGTCTTTCATGTTCAGATTTGATCCGAACGTCCGGACGGGTTGCATGTTAGATATACGTTCTATGTTGGAGGTTCCAAGTAGAATATGAATTAGGAAAATCTAACCTTCAAATGGCATGTGTAGATCATAAGTAATTGGTAAAAGTTCATAGGATTGCTAGGTGATGATGGAACCCTAATGCTTTCTTAATTTGATTTCTCCCAAAACAGTTTTCTTTTTCCTCTATTTTCAATATTGCAGATTGTCTTATTTTTATTAATTAAATTCGTTTTTATTTTAAGTAGGTTATAAAATCAATCACCTCAATTTCTACTTTACAATAATTAATTGAAATTTGATTGTTTCGAATTATTTAATAATTCTTGTGGAGAATGATCTTGCGAAATCCGTTTATACTACAACAACCTTGTGATTCTTGCAAGTATTATAGGAGTTTTTATCGCATTCACATGAGTACTAAAATCCCTATCACCAGACCATATAGAAAATCGTTTGTAACAAGTAAAAGTATAAATGACCATGTAGCTGAAATCGACCTCAAAAATAAACACTCTTAATCTGCATTAGTAAAAAAGTAACAATTAATAATCGCTTTTGTCCAATTGATTGAGCAATTATTGTCTTAGTGGAGTTGCTCTTATAACTAACTTAGTGAGAAGCTTCCTAAACCAATTTTGAGAATTTCAAATACATTCTTTAAGGTGTACTTTTACTATTTTAATTAGATTGTTCATGCAAATATTGTAAGACTTTTATTGGGCTTACATCTATTTAGGAGTCTTAATTGGTTAAGAATACAAGATAGGAAGAAATATTTGGTTATCCTGGATTACTTGGTGGTCAAGTAAACTTATAATTATTGGGAATATCTTTCCTATTTGGTCATGGATTCTAGAGGTGCTAAAGATATGTATTAGGGATTTCTTTATGGGCAAGAAACCTAATATACTCACCTATAAATATAAGGGTTAGGTCCCCACTCTTGTACACATATTCTAGCACAAAACCCTACCCCATATAGGAGTGCATAAGGCGTGTACTAGGAGCGGAAGATCTTTGCTTGCTGCTTTGTTCGTGTTTCATCATTAAGCTTGGATTCAATGGCTTCTCAAGGTTAGTACTTTTAGTATGTATATTAAAGTTAACTCACATGTGGTATCGGAATGTAGGTTATATGCATCTAGAAGTCTAAAACCAAGATTATATTTATAAAGAAACCGAGAAGCAAGATTGTTGTTCAAATCATGTCCGCCGTATGTAATCCATATTATGTCGTACCCTGTTTAT